AAAAGAAAAACCAATTCAAGTAGGAAACTATGTTAAAGATTAACAAAAACTTTATGATTAAAAGTCCAATAGCAATATTTATCAATTTTATATATTAACCAAGGGCTGAAGCTAGAGTTTGGAGGAGATAAAGCAATTAAAATCACTGGTAAATCTGATAAAGGTAGGAATGTGGGGTGGGAGGTGCATGCAATTAAAGGACATGACATTTTAACATTGTAAATTTTAATTCACATTCCTGCATAGGGAGGAGAAAACATTTCTCTACTTTTTTTCTATTTCTCCCAACTTTATCCTGTTATACTAAAATAAATCTTTGCTAAAACTTTTGTGAGATTCTCCCTATTGGAAGACACCTTGAAATGTTTTCCATATGTGGATCTCAAAGTGATTTTGCATAAGAAATGGGAAACAGAGAACTCCTCGTTCATCATCTGGTGACAGAAACTAGCAACTCTGATCCAAGACTAAACCTCACACATAAAAGAATAACTTGTTTCTTTGAGGATTTGTTTTGGGGAGGTTAATTTTTTGAGCTCTGAGTATTTTAGATAAAAGGCCTCTGTCTGATTCATTGCTAATAAAAATCTCCCATTCTGTGAGCTTTCTATTTATCTTGCTAGCTATGCCATTTGCCATCCAGAAACCATTTCAGTATGATGCAATACCTACCATTTATCTAGTCATTCTTTGATTTGTTGTGATTCGGAATCTTTACTTAAGTTTTGACCTGGGCCTAGGAACCTTAGTGTTTCCCCTATCCTTTCCTGTAATATTTTCAGGGTATCTGGTCTTACATTGAAGTCTTTAATCCATTTGGAGTTGATTCTAGTGCAGGGTGAGATATAAGGATCTAATTCCAGTTTTCTGCACATGTATAGCCAATTCTGCCAGTACCATTTGTTGAAGAGACTTTCTTCCACCCTATGTTTTGGATCCCTTATCAAATATTATAGGTTTGTGGTTTCATTTCTGGGTTTTTTTACTCTATTCCACTGGTTCTCAGGATATACTTAGGAGGGGACTGCAAGATCTCAATAGCTATGTGCATAAGATCATATAAAATGATGCTCATAGAAATGAACTCCAAGAAAAGGAAGAAGTTTTACTGTTTGTGATTCTTTTTTTTTCTTTTATTTTCTTCTTTCATTTTTACTTCTGTCGCTGTTTTTGATATCTGTACCCTTTCTTGTATATAAGTTTATCTGATTTGGGGAGGGGAAGAGGAAGCACAGAAATGGTGGGACAAAGGGTGCACCAATTTAACAGTGAAACCCACTAGACACTATGTTGGAATAAACTACATAACTTTGTGGGGAGGAAAATAGGCAGGGGAGAAACTGGAAGAGAATGAAGGAGGGGGGCAACACTGTTTAAAAGAAAATGTACTCATTACCTGACTCATGTATCTAACCCTCTGTACATCACCTTTACAATAAAATTTAAAAAACAAACAGTAACTTCATGGTTTTGGTCTAGATCACGACTTTTGTCAACGAATTTCCTGGCAACCGAATTTCCTGAAATAAGATAGGGAAATAACTTTCTGGTAGGGTTAGCAATCTACTTTCAGCTCAGAAGCAGCTACTGAAGACAGACCATTAACCCTCTGCATCTCTTTTAAGATTAAAAGGAGTCAAAGTCCTTTGGGGGGAAAACAAATTAATAAATGTCAAAAGGGCATAAGACAGTCTTTGGAAACAGGAAATAGAAACTGAAATGCAAGCAAACAACTAAGGTCCTCCGTAGTGCTAAATTACAAGAACAGGAGAGAGAAAGGTCTTCTGGTATAGATTTAGGCCCTTGAACTTGCTGGGCAGGTGCTCTACTTAAACAACACTCCTAATCCTTATTTCGCTTTATTTTTATTTTTGTTGGTCATGAGGCTTGAACTCTGGGCTTGGGCGTTGTCCCTATGCTCTTCAGCTCAAGGCAAGCGTTCTACACTTGAGCCACAGCATCACTTCCGGTTTTCTAGTGGTTTATTGGACATGAGAGTCTCACATACTTTCCTGCCCAGGCTGGCTTTGAACCGTGATCCTCAGATGTCAGCCTCCTGAGTAACTAAGACTACAGGCATGAGCCACCAGTGCCTGGCTTTATTTTTTGCATAGTGTCTGTTTTCAGTCTCTGGCCTCACGCCTTTTAAAAAATCTATGCTGCTACTAATGAACTACCAGACTTGGCTTATTCATTGAGATGGGGGTCTCATACTTTTTGCCAGGGTTGGTCATGAACTATGATCTTCCCAATCTCTGCCTCCCAAGTAGCTGGGACTACAAGTGTGAATCACTTTCCCCAGCCAATAATTAAGTTCTACACAAATTCTTTTTTTTTTTTTTTTTTTGGTCGTGGGGCTTGAACTCTGGGCTTGGGCGTTATCCCCCAGCTCTTCAGCTCAAAGCGAGCACTCTACTGCTTGAGCCACAGCTCCACTTCAGGTTTTCTAGTGGTTTATTGGAGATAAGAGTCTCGTGGTCTTTCCTGCCCAGGATGGCTCTGACCTGCGATCCCAAGATCTCAGCTTCCTGAGTAGCTATGATTACAGGAGTAAGCCACCAGAGTCTGGCTGTTTTCTGTTTTTACGTTTTGTTGGGGGGTCTGGTCATGGGGCCTGAACTCTGGGCCTGGGCGCTGTCCCTCAGCATTCCAGCTCAAGGCTAGCGCTCTACCACTTGAGCCACAGCGCCACTTCCGGCTTTTTTTTCTTATGTGGTACTGGGGAATCGAACCCAGGGCCTCAGGCATGCAAGGCAAGTGCTCTACCACTGAGCCACCTTCCTAGCCCTGTTTTTTTTAACTGTATTTTTTGTCATTTCTTTTTTGGTACTGGGGATCGAACCCAGGACGCTGCACTTGCTAGACAAGTGCTTTGCCAGTGAGGGACATCTCAGCCCACAAATTCTTTTCTTTTGTGCAGTACTGGGTTTTGAACTCCAGGCCTTTTGCTTGCTAGGTAGGAGGAACTCCACTGCTTGAGATTCTCCAACCTTTGTTGCTTTTGTTATTTTTCAAATACAGTCCTGCTTTTTGCATAGGAAGGCTGGGCCAATTAGGATTACAGGTATAAGTCACCATACTTAGACTTACACAATAATTTTCACTCTAAATTTTGACACTGTTCGTGACTGTACTGTAAAAGTTACTGCTAATAAGCATTTTTTCCATTTATAACTTTAAATGCTCAAATTAACTACAATAAAAAAATTGAATTAGGACTGGGAATGTGGCCTAGTGGTAGAGTGTTTTTGCCTACTATGCAAAAAGAAGCTCGGGGGCAGTGCCCAGGCCCTGCGTTCAAGCTCCAGAACTGGCCAAAACAAACAAACAAACAAACTAGGGCTGGGAATGTGGCTTAATGGTAAAGTGCTTGCCTTGCATGCATGAAGCACTGGGTTCAATTCCTCAGTATCACATAAACAGTAAAAACCAGAAGTGGTGCTGTGGCTCAAGCGACAGAATGCTAGCCTTGAACAAAAATAGCTCAGGGACAGTGTCCTGGACCTTAGTTCAAGCCCCAGGACTGGAAAAAAAATAAAATAAAAATGAACTAACAAATTTTATCTAAAATATTTTTAAAGAATTGAGATGTAGCTCAGTGGTAGTGTGCTTGCATATACAAGGTTTTGATCCCCAGCAACACAAGAAAAATACAGACAGACCAGAAAACATCTTAAAAGAATAGTTCTTAAGTCTAACTGATTACTACAATCACTTGATTAGTTTTGAATACAAGCAGATTCCCTAGCCAACCTCACCCCAACTGGATCAACATCTCTGCAAAGATCTGTCTGCAGTTTTTTCCCATGTACCTCCTGTGATTCAGATCAGCCAATTTTGGGAACCACTGCCCTATAGTAAATCTTTATTCTTCTGTTTCCCATATCTCCTAGAAGATATTCTTGGAAAGTAAAAGGTGACCTATGCACTGACAGGAAGAAAGTATAAATGTATAAAACAGCATAAGATTTGGTAGAAAGAAAGCAATGGTAAAAATACACAAAACATATATACATAAAGTTCAATAAATAGAAGACAAGGAAAAACAACTGATTTTCTGTCAACATACTTTCCACAAGGATGAAGTAATTAAAGGTATTACCAATCAATTCTCTTGTGAATGTTAAAGAGGGAGAAAGTAAACTACAGTTTTGAGAAACTAGAGTTCAGGTAACCTATGGGTTGACGTTAAAGGACATCTACCGTTATCCTGGGATTCTCAAATAAGTAAAAGAAGCTAAGCATGTTTTCCTTCATAGAACACTTTATATACCTAAAAGACTTTCTTCTCTCACTAGTTTAAAAATGTGGGAAAAGTAAAAAAATATTTAATTTAAAATGTTTTGCCAAGTAAATTTAACATTCATGCTCCTTCTACTTAAGATCATTATTATTGATAGGAAGGAATGGATGTTTTTCTAATTCTCAAGTCTTTGTGTTCAATCACAAGTGGAAAGGCAATATGGAACCTAAGCAGAATTAGATTAAATTAGGCTATGTGAGGGTTTAAAACATTTAATATAAAAGGAGAGGATTTAATAAGTGATAATACAGTTTAAAAATCTAAGACAGTCAAATGATATTAAAAATGCTTTACTTCTCTCTGTGAATAGTAACAATATAAAAATAAAAAGTCTTCATTTTGCTCTCTTATCTGCTTCATTGATCAATTACATGTGTTTGCGCTTGCTCCAAATTATTGCATACAAAGAATTATTATTCACTACACAACCCAAGCCGTACTAGAAGAATTTCTCACTTACATATAAATGTATAAGGAAAAAGAACGAAGAAATTATGATCTTTAATTCTCAACTCTTACACATCATCCAATTGCAGGAGCTTCCTTTCTTCAAACTTTCCTTGTCTCACTTGCTGTGTCAGTAACTACACTTAATAATAGCAGAGGTTATTGACAAAGATAGTAAAGATTACAATCACTCTCCAACCAATTCTAGAATTTTGTATTAGACAATAAATACATTGAGCAAAATTCCTACCTCAAAAATTTGTTCAAAATTCTGAAACTCCTGTAATCTTGCCTGAAATCCTTCAGCAAGTGCCCCACCTGTAATATACGGCCAGAGATTTTAAAATCTAATATAGAAATCTTCCCTTATCCCTGAGAAATATATCCCAAGGCCCTCATGCATGTCTAAAATTGCAGACAGTATTAAACCCTCCATGCAGTATAAAATGTCTTTTTCATATTACTTATGGGTTTATCATGTCCAGTGGCCATAATTTTTGAAGTCAGAACTGTAATGGTAAAAGTAGTACAAATTTCTTTTTCTTCACAATTTCACAGAATTTTTCTTTTTCTTTTTTTTTTTTTGGTCCGATTGTGGGGCCTGAACTCTGGGCCTGGGCGCTGTCCCTCAGCTCTTCAGCTCAAAGCTAACGCTCTACTACTTGAGCCACAGCACCACTTCTGGCTTTTTTCTTTTTGCTTATGTGGTGCTGAGGAATCAAACCCAGGGCCTCAGGCATGCAAGGCAAGCAAGGGCTCTACCACTGACCCACCTTCCCAGCTCCACAGATTTTTTTTTTTACTACAGCATAGGATTTCTTTTTCCTTATTAAGTCAAATATTTTACCTTTTCACTTAAAGGAAACATTTTATGGATTCTTTTGGGGATATCTCAATTGCAAAAATCAGTAAAATAAGTTACTTTAACACAGCATTATAGTCATTGTGCAGCTCATCCAATAAGCAAGATGATGGAGTATATATTATGGATACATTGAAAACAAGATGATTAACATCACCTGGGATGGCTACATAGTTCATCTTGCTACTCAAAACAGCAAGTGATTTAAAATTTGTGTTATTTAAGCCAGGCCCAGATAGCTCTCACTTGTAATCCTAGTTACTCAGAAGGCTAAGATGTGAGAATTGAGGTTCAAAGCCATCCCTGAGTAGATAAGTATGAGGGATTCTCATCTCAAATTAATCATTAAAATCCAGAAGTGAAGCTGTGGTTCAAGTGGTGGAGCACCATCTGTTAAACAAAAAAGCTAAGGTAGAATACAAGACCCTGAATTCAAGCCCTAGTATCAGCATAAATAGTTTAATTATGAAATTTTCCACTTAATATTTTGAGCCTTGGTTGAACATCAGTTGTTGATACTGTAGAAAAGGGAGGGAAACACAAATGTATACAGCAAGGTAAGATTTTTGGTATACTATTTTTGTTGTTGTTGTTGGTAATGGGGCTTGAACTCTGCGCCTGTGTCCTGTCCCTCAGCTCTTTAGCTCAAGGCAAGCATTCTATCACTAGAACCACAGAGCTACTTCCAGTTTTCTGCTGGTTAATTGGAGATAAGAGTCTCACAGACTTTCCTTCCCAGGCTGGCTTTGAACTGTGATCCTCAGATTTCAGCCTCCAAAGTAGCTCTGATTATGGCCATGAGTCACCAGTGTCCAGCTCTGGTATAACATTTTTATAAGATACTTCTATGAAAAATAAAATCTAGGGACTGGGAATGTGGCTTAGAATGCTTGTCTAGCTTGTATGAAGCTCTGGGTTCAATTCCTCAGGATCACATAAACAGAAATAAACAAACAAACAAATAAAAATCTAAAGCCAGGCACTGTTGGCTCATGTCTATAATCCTAGCTACTTGGGAGGCTAAAATCTAAGGTTCACATTTTGAAGCTACTGTGGGCAGAAAAGTCTGTGAGGTTCTTATCACCAACTGCCAAATAAAGCCAGAAGTAGAGCTGTGGCTCAAGTGGTAGAACACAACCCTTGAGCACAAAAAACCCAAGGCCAGCACCCAGGCCCTGAGTTCAAGCTGCAGGACCTGCAACAGCACCAAAAAAAAAAAAAAAAAGAAAAGAGAACAAAAGAAAGAAAACCTAGAGCTAAGGGAATTGCTTAAGTGATAAACATAGAGTATTTGGATAGCAATAATGAGGCCCTGAGTTCAAATGCCAATACTGCCAAAAAATGAACGCTAAAATTTAAAAAATTCTAAAAGCCTATATATAATTAATACATACCACCTTCTGGCATTCCTTGTACTTTGTGTTTTCTAGCACTAAGAACTTCCTTTGCTGAAACAAAGAAGATACGATTCCGTGCTTCTGAAGGACTAACAACTTTGAGCTCCTCTACTAAGAAATGCAGGCATCTTTCCATATGTTGTCTGCGTACCTACAAAGTATAAAGACATTTTAATAATTTAAACAAAACGAATTATAGAAAACAACCAGAGGCTGTAGTAAACTTCATTTATAGTGAAATTACAATAGTTCCCACATATCTAATAAATGTAGGAAGTTTTAGTAAATTTGATACTTGATCATAGGAAACCGCTCTTAAATCATCTTAATGGTATTTACATAACAATGTACATGACTTCAAGGAAAAAATTAACTTACATCTTCCATATATTCTGGCTCTGATGCAGAAGCATCCCAACGGTTATTCAGAATGAAAATATTAGGCTTTGAAAGCCGCTCATTCACCTTGTGAAAAAAATGTTTCTCCTGAAAAACACCAAGAATCCCTTTTTAAAGATATTACATATTTATAATTGGAACTTTAATTTACAAAGCTGAATCATTTAGGTATCAATGATTAAGATCTATAAATAAAGGATCCTAAGGCACTTTTCAAGCATTATACCTTTTCAAGGTAAGAAAATAAAACAAGATTTTCTCTGTATCAGCCATGAATCTTTTTTGAAATGTAAATAGTATTTATCACTCTTTACTACACATAGGACATAAAAGTAATTATTAATAAATGGTACATGCTGGGCTGGGAAGGTGGCTCAGTGGTACAGCGCTTGCCTTGCATGCATGAGGCCCTGGGTTCGATTCCCCAGCACCACATAAGCAAAAAGAAAAAAAAAAAAAAAAGCTGGAAGTGGCGCTGTGGCTCAAGTGGTAGAGCGCTAGCCTTGAGCTGAAGAGCTGAGGGACAGCACCCAGGCCCAGAGTTCAGGCCCCACGACCGGACCCAAAAAAAATAAAAAATAAAAAAAATGGTACATGCTTTTAAAAATGTTACTTGAAATCATTTATTGTATTTTTTGAGGGTAGTCCTGCTTAAAGCTAGCGTCTAGGGCTGAAGGCAGTTTAGTGCCTGCCTCACATGTATGAAGCCTTGGGTTCAATTCCTCAGTGCCACATACACAGAAAAAGGGAGAAGTTGTGTGGTAGCTCAAATGGTAGAGTGCTAGTCTTGAGCAAAAGAAGCTCAGGGACAGTGCCCAGGCACTCAGTGCAAACCCAGGACTGGCAAAAAAAAGAAATTAATATTACTACTAATAGTAGTAGTAGTAATAAAAAGCTAGTGCTCTACCACTTGAGCCACAGCTCCATTTCCCTTTTTGATGGTTTAATAGGATAAGAGTCTCATGGACTTTGCTGCTGAGGATGGCTTCAAACTCCAATCCTCAGATCTTAGCCACCTAAGTAGGTAGCACTATAGGCTTGAGCCACTGGTACCCAACTATTAAAACCTTTTTAAGACCTAAGTATTGTTATTAAAGAAAAATTGAGAAGTATCTTGTGAACAGTTCAAACTAAGCTTACAAACTGTATGTACAAAAGCAAAAGAAGTTATTTGTGTCTGTTTATACTGCTTCCTTTTTATAGCCTTTGTAGCTGTACAGGGTGACAGCAAGAGCCAAGGAGGAGAGGTGTAATCCCTGTATAAAATACGAGCCAGCAACACTCTTGTATTTATCAGTTCTCTTTTTAGTCAGTTACTTAAAAAAATTATGATAAGCCATTAAAAAAAAAGAATTAAGCCAAACACCCATGGCACACACCTGTCATCCCAGCTGAAACTAGAAGTATAAAAAGTCAAGATCCTATCTCAGAATAACCAGTAAAAAAGGGCTTAAGCCAGGCGCTGGTGGCTCACCCCTGTAATCCTAGCACTCAGGAGGCTGAAATTTGAGCATCTCCGTTCAAAGCCAGCCGGGGCAGGAAAGTCTGTGAGACTCTTATCTCCAATAAACCACTACAAAACCGGAAGTGGTGCTGTGGCTCTAGTGGCGGAGTGGTCGCCTTGAGCTGAAGAGTGCAAGGACAGTGCCCAAGCCCCGAGTTCAAGCCCCACGACCGATTAAAAAAAAAAAGGCTAAAGACATGGCTTAGCAGTATACTGCCTGCCTGTGTATCCTAGATTTCAAACACTAATACACAAAAACAACCCATTAAAACAAATAAATACCTAAGTAAATTACCATTTTAAGATATTTGTATAGAACTAATTTAAAAAAGTAGGATTCAGTGGTTCATGTTTATAATCCTAGCTACTACTGTTTATGCTGGGAGAGGTGGATCAAGTTTTGAAGCCAACTTGGGCAGATCTATAAGGCTTGCATCTCCAATTAATCACACAAAAACTGGAATTGGGTTATGGCACAAGTGGTAGAGTACCAGACATGAGGAAAAAAATAATTGAGAATAAGTGGCCCTGAACTCAAGCCCCAGTATTGGCACAAACAACAAGAAGCAATTGGAAAGTGTGTAACATAATTACCACGAACAAATGCTATGACTATTCAGAAGGAGAAGCCACATATAGCTGAAATTAGAAAAAGCTATATAAAGGAGGAACTAGTAATAAAATGACCTTGAAAGTACCATTAACAGGGATTGTTAAAAAGAAAACTTCAGCTAGATTCATGTCTGTAATAGTTAATCAGGAGGCTGAAATCAGGAAGATCATGGTTTGAAGCCAGTCCAGACGGAATAGTCCATGAGATTCCATCTCCATAATAATCAGCAAAACATTGGGCTGAAGGCCCAGTGTTCCTTCACATGCAAACAAGTAAGCAAACACAGGCCTTGAGTTCAAACTCAAGTATAGGAATAAAAAAAGAAAAAGAAATTCAGAAGTAGACAAATTGCAGGTAAAGGAAGCTGAAATCTGACAATCACAATTCAGAACTAGTCCTGAGAAATCCTCTAGATACTTATCTTCAAATAATCAACAAATCAGTGAAGTGTGCCTCAAGTGGTATAGTGCTAGCTATGAGCAAAATTAAAAAAAAAAAAAAAAAAGAGCTAGAGCTTGAGGCCCAGAGTTCAAGCAACAGAACAGCAAAAACAAAAACAAAGACCACCAATAGAACAAGAATAGAGGTAAGAGACTGAAATACATTGTATACATGGTGGCACAAAAATGTCAAAATTAGGGGCTGGGAAGGTGGCTCAAGTGGTAGAGTGCTTGCCTCACATACACGAGGCCCTGGGTTCGATTCCTCAGCACCACATAAGCAGAAAAAGCCAGAAGTGGCGCTGTGACTCAAGTGGTAGAACACTAGCCTTGAGCTGAAGAGCCAAGGGACAGCACCAAGGCCCAGAGTTCAAGCCCCACAACCGACAAAAAAAAAAAAATGTCAAAATTAAAGCTCTCCTTATATAGCTACTAATATAGGTTAATATAAACAATCAAATAAATAGAAGCACAAGCAGGGCTTTGTCTGACAGATTGCAGGGACTGGTTTATACCTAATTAAAGAGACATCAGTAAACAACCTAACAATTTTGACACTCATTCTCTCTGAGGTAATCAGAAGTGAATGCAAGTTCAGTTCACACTTTGAACTCATACAAATCCTAGACTGCTACAGTTTCTTTTAGAAAAGTACAGAAAATCAAAAATAGCTATTCCAATCCTATGGAAACACAATGCCTTCATTCTCTCTCTCTTTTTTTTTTTTTTTTTTTTTAATTTTTGGGTTCCGTTGTGGGGCCTAAACTCTGGGCCTGAACGCTGTCCCTCAGCTCTTCAGCTCAAGGCTAGCGCTCTACCACCTGAGCCACGGCGCTACTTCCGGCTTTTTTCTTTTTGCTTATGTGGTACTGAGGAATCGAACCCAGGGCCTTAGGCATGCAAGGTAAGAGCTCTACCACTGAGCCACCTTCCCAGCCCCGTTCATTCTCTCTTGATTATAATTCATGATTTGGATTTCCTTCATGTTCTAAGGGTGAAAATGGACACTATTTGCTTTCCTACCACGCTAAGACAGTGACATGATTACCGTGTTCATTAGTGTTGATTCAGAGTTTGCAACCAAAACGAAGACATCAGCATCTAGGCAAAATTTATCAATCCAGCTATCCAGCTCTGTAGTGACATCTGTGCCTGGACTAATCAAAGTGAGACAACAATTATATTAAAAACAATTGGGTTATAGATTAAAAAATATTTTCATATCATTTGGAGCCTAAAGTTTAGAGTTTAAATCAATTATTCATAATAATGCCTAGGAAATTTTTGACAAATCAAGTAACATGATCAATCTTTTTAATCTTTATATTCTGAAAGACTGGAAAATAAGTACTGAAATAATAAAACTATCTAAGCTACTAGACAATAAAAAGGGGAGGTGCATTTAGCCATAGGTGCTCATGCCTGTAATCCTAACTACTCAGGAGACTGAGGTCAAGAAAACTGACATTCAAAGCCAGCTTAGGAAGAAAAGTCTTTGAGCCTCCATCCCAAATTACCAGAAAAAAGCAGGGCGGGAAGGCATGGCTCAAGTGGTTGAGTAAACAAACTAGCAAATGTGAGGTCCTGAGTTCAATCCTTAGTACTGAAAAACAGAGAGAGTGCAAGCAACCATATCCAGTAAAGCACAGAGATTGAAATGTTTATGTAATAAAAATAAAAATAATGATGATAATGATAATTAAAACCTCTAGTAGCTATAAAAATACCATCCATACCATAAAAATGGCAAGGATTTGCCAATTATCAATCTTCACAGATGAGGTGGTAGATATAATCTGACTTGAAATAAAGTAAAATTGGCTAATATTGTATTTGTATTTCACAAATTATTTTCTCTCTCACCTGAATTATTCTGTTTGATCACCTGAAACACTCTTCTAGCTGAAAGGAATGCCCATCATCAAAAGCAAATAGTTTCCACAGAACACTGATATTTAATTGAAGAAAGCAAGAACATACTTAAATCTTGAAAATCATTACTTCTTTTAGTTAATGAAAAGGTTCAACTGATATGCATAAGCACATATAGTAAGTGATTTTAAAACTCATTAGAGGAACTGGAGGTAAGACTGCTTGCCCAGCATATACAAGCCATTGGTTTATTCTCAAATACCACAAAATAAATTTTTTAAATGTACACTTCATAAAAGACAAATGACACATAGAAAAAAATCCCAAAAGCATTCTCCTAACTCTTGAATAACAAAAAGCTATAGAAACTTCCTAGCGAAATTACTTTAGGCAACATCATCACTAAGTTATTACTGTTAAGGAGAAATACCTATTTAAAGTTATCTTTAAATACGGCTTAAGGAGAGTATTATATACCATGTGCCAAAATCCTGAGTTTAATCCCAGAACCACCAACAATCACAGTAGAGTTTCTAAATCCTATCTCAACTACAATTACTACTGTTACAAAATTTTACAAACTATCAAATTTTATTAAAGAAACTAAAGCAAGTGGTTATCTTCGAAAAAAAAAATTCCTGTAAAAAAATCAGACTATGCAACTATTAAAAACCAGATGTTCATTACAACCTCAAGTGAGAACAAAGCAGCAATTAAATGTCTTAAACTTTTTTATGCCATATACTGAAGTAAATATTATATTAATTATGCTTAAGTCTAGAGAAAACAAATCCAAATATAAACTTACCTGTCTACCAAAACCAGGTCATCTCTCAGGAGGGCACATTTTGCTTTTGGCCAAAAGACATGTACAAGACAGCCAGCTTTCAAATCTTTGTCCATATGGAGAGCATGGGCCAGCTGATTAACTGTCTGAAAAACGAAGGAGAGAAAACAAAAAATATGCTTCTAATAAAAGTTGATAAAAAGGGAGCGAAGTACTAACAAGGAAGGGGAGAACAGGGTGAATATGGTCGAAATGTTTTTATGGGTTTTCTTTGCCAGTCCTGGGACTTAAACTCTGGACAGGGGAACTGGTCCCTGAGCTTCTTTTTTGCCCCAAAGCTAGAAGTCTACCACATGAGCCACAGTGCTACTTCTGATTTTTTAATTTATGTGGTACTGAGGAATCAAACCCAGGACTTCATGCATGCTAGGCAAGTACTCTACCACTAAACCACACTCCCCACCTTAAAATGTTTTGTTTTCAGTGAAATTTGTTGAAATTGTTTTAGAAAATGGAGAGGGAGAGAGAGAGAGAGAGACAGAGAGAGAGAGCGCACTAGGAGACATTTATGTGTGTGTGTAAATTATACTGATGTTTTAAGTTATGCATATACAGCAAATGTTAATATTTTTATAACATTTTATAAAATGTACATTATGTTGCTAATTATTAAATATTCTACCTTCACACTCTTCTTTTCATCTGATCCTTCTGTCATAAGATAGGCTTTATCTCCATCAGTTCCTTCAACGCTCAGGAAGCAATTGGTTGTATGGCCAATTCCACTTGGTAGAACTTTATCCCATAACATTGCATTGATAACAGAGCTTTTTCCACTGCTTGTCCTGAAAAATATACAATATCATGAAAAATAAAGCAAATCAATTTAAAAAAATAACTTGTTCTTCCACTAGGTCTTATTGGCCAACATTTACAAAATTCCAATTTCATTAAAATTTCACCAAAAGGATTTTTTGGTTTTTACAACTAGAAAAAAATTACCAGACAACAAATCCTACTTTTCCCATAAAGATATCCTTAACTTTCTTGCCTCTTGTAACAATTTGAAATCACAGGTCAAAATTTTATACTATTCATAGGATAAAAGATGAAGTCCAACATCCCATCTTCTTTAATCTGGGCTAGGTTGTGAATGCTTCAACAAGGTTAAGCATAAAAGGCAATCATGCTTACTAGATCACATGTATTTGGGAGTCTTGCCATTAAATAGAAGTTCACTTCCAATACATCTGCTGTGTTGTGATAAAGTCAAGCTAAATAATGATATCTGCCCAGATGCCTCCAGTTGACAGTCCTAATCTCCCAGCACCGCAGATGATATCAGCTCTTAATTGATAGGCCTCATCCTTCTTGGGGCTCCAAATACTATGAGGCAAATATAAGGCATCTCCACTGGGCCTTATTCACAATATTCCTTACTCAAAATTCATGAGCACAATAAAACTGTTGCTTTTATTTTGCTAAGTTGGAAGTAATTTTTTTATTGTGAAAATACTGTACAGAGGAGTTACAATTACATGGGCAAGATAATGAGTACATTTCTTATCAAACATTGTAGCCTCTTCCTTTGTTTCCCCTTCCCATCCTTCCCCCGCCCCCCAGTAATTTGTTTTATAATTAGAATAATCGGAACAATTACAGTAACACTGAAAACTAACACCTCATACAACCCTACAGAGGCTTGCTTTCCAATCAATTTACCTAAACCCCAGAAGCTGTTCAGAACCTTTTGTTTCATTACAAAAACATGTTATCTTTAGGGTATATGTCTCACCTCTTTCAGTTTAAGTCATACTTTTGTTTATATTATGGTTTTACTTGTTACACAATGTACTTGTCTCAATAGGTTTTTAATGCCACTAAAATACAACTTACAGGGATATCTATGACAATTCTTTTTTTTTTTTAATTTAATTTTATTTGTGAACATACTGTACAGAGGGGTTACAATTACATGGGCAGGATAATGCGTACACTTCTTACCAAGCATTGCAGCCTCCTCCTTTGGTTTACCCTTCACATCCCTTCCCAGCCTCCCCCCTCCCCCCCAAACCCAATCTATGACAATTCTTAAATTTACTCCTCCTGATCACTTCCTAAGGTTTTGCTACAGTGATCCTCAAGAGCAGTGGCTGGCTGGGAAGGGAAAAAGAGACAGTAACGGATAGAATGAGATTGACTGAAATGCATTCTAAATTATAAATATGTATGGGAATATAACAATGAAATTCTCCTCTGTACAACTAATGTAAACTAATGATAATAATTTTAATCAACAGCTAGGCACAGTGGTGCACATCTGTCATCCCAGCAATGAGGCTAGGATCAGAAGGACCACAGTTGTATACCAGCTGAGGCAAAAAAGTTCACAACAGCCTTATAATAGAAAACACTGAGCACAATGACACAGGCTGATCATCCCAGCTACAGTGGGATGCATAAGTGGTAGGAATTCAGTCCAGGCTAACCTGGACAAAACCTGAGACCCTATCTCAAAGATAACCAGAGCAAGCCAGTGGCTTACATCTGTAATACTAGCTACTCGGGAGGCTGAGATCTGAGGATTGTGGTTCAAAGTAGCCTGGGCAGGAAAGTCTGTGAGAGTCTTATCTCCATTAAACTACCAAAATAGCTGGAAGTGGAGCTATGTCTCAAGAAGTAGAGTACTAGCCTTGACCAAAAGAAGCTCAGGGACAGCACCCAGGTCCAGAGTTCAAGCCCTAGAACAGCATCATGCACATGCACACATGCGCACGCGCACACGCACACACACACAAGAAAACACACACACACACACACACACACACACACACACACGCACGCATGCACAGACGCGCACAGACGCACACACACGAAAAAAGAAAAAAAAAAAACAGAGTAGAAAGGGCAGGAAGAAGCCAGGCACCAGTGGCTCATGCCTGTAATCTTAGTTACTCAGGAGGCTGAGGTCAGTGGATCAGGGTTCAAAGCCAGCCTGGGCAGACAAATCTGGAAGATTATTATCTCCTATTAACCAGCAAAAAGCCAAAAGTAAAAGTGTGGCTCAAGTGGTAAAGCTCAGAGCCCCATATTCAAGCCCTAGTACTAGCACCAAAACAAACAAAAAAAGCCTCAGTACTTTTAATGGTCAGAAGCCCATTACTGATGATTGTGAACCTCTAATCTTTTCTATTGCTCTCACACTTACCATAGAACACTCCTGTGACCAGATATCTTCCATGAAATTTAGGATATCTCTCTAGAAATTCTACAGCACACACCAAATATGTGTCCTTTAATTCAATTTATAACATTCAAATCTCTACTACATAATGTCCCATCTACAAGTAAAGGATTTAATCCTCTAAGACCAGTTTCCAAGTCTAAGATAATGACTTGTGCTTCTAAGCCAGCAAATATAAAATTATAGTTCCCACAAATCCACAAATTTTTTCCTTGGTTAGACAGGTCACAGAACTCAAAGAAACAAACTCTTATGTTATTAGAAGTATATTATAAAGGGTATAGATGAGTAGCCAGATGAGGAGATAGACAGGGCACATTTTGGAGAAGGATAGAGATGAAGTATCCATGACCTCTCTCAGCATAAGCACTTCCAAGCTCATCCATCGGGTTCAATAGTATCAACCCTTTAATCTTCTAATCACTTGGTTTTTCTGGTGACAGGTCTTAGCCTTAAACTATCTAGTGGCCCCCACCTGTCACTCAAAAATGCCAAGAGTCTTAGAAGATTAGAAGTTCTGTGGCAAAGAACACAAAGACCAAATATTTTAGCATACGACTCCTTCCTAATTTTGCTTTTACTACCCACATGGCATCTCTATTTTGTAAAAAATTCCTCTTACTCTCCACCATCTTGTCTTTGTTTTTCCTTTTCATTACATATTCTCCCCTTGTATTCTTTGGTTTCAATCACTAAAATAAGTCAATGATTTCTACATTCTTAGAATTCTAGTTCTAATTTAAAATATCCAATTTTGAATATCTAAGTACCAGAGATGCACATCTAAATTATTCAAAACCAAACTCTACCTTTTTTCCTACATACTTATGTCAAAGAATGGCACTCAAGTAATTCATGACTATTTTCTCACCTTTCTGAAACTAATCACCAGGCTAGACTAACTACTCTTTTGCATTTCTTATCACCCCACTCTCCAAGCTCACAAGCTAGGACTTTAGAATTTTTTATCTAGATTACTATAACTGAGTCTTACCTTCTACTCTCATCCATTCTATTCTCATTATATCCAGTTATAATCCTGTTTATTTTTCAAAATACTTAAAAATGAAACACTTACCAGGATATTTGAAGTCCTTAAAAAAATCTAGCTTGGGGGGGTGAGGGGGGGTATGATTGGGTGGGAGGGAGGGGGGAGGCTGGGAAGGGAGGTGAAGGGTAAACAAAGGAGGAGGCTGCAATGCTTGGTAAGAAATGTATGCATTATCCTGCCCATGTAATTGTAACCCCTCTGTACAGTATGTTCTCAAATAAAATAAAATAAAATTTAAAAAAAAAAAAAAAAGAAAAAAAAAAAAAAAATCTAGCTTGTTTTACTTCCCTCTTCTTGCCAATGTTCCTTAATGCCTTAAATTCTACTACATTTGGTTCTCCAAATGCATAATTTCTCACTTTCAATTTTATGTTTTTTTACAAGCAGTGGAATCCTGGATATTTTCACATCCAATACTAATATGATACTCCTCATATTATTATGAGGCACAGGCTGTGGCTCTGTGCCCTTCACTGCCCATTATCTGAGAGAGTCTTTATTGCACACATAGCTATCCCATGCCCAGAAAAAGAAATAACTTGTTCCAACATCTGACAAAAAAAAGCTTATTTCTCAAAATTAACCTTAGAAGAAATGATGATTACCTGCCAAAAAATGCCACTTTCATGTGTCTCCGAGATAGAACTTCGCCGATGATAGAAAGCTTGTTTTTATAGCCCTGTATTTCTACCAGATCATCCTCAGTGGCTATTCTATCAAGTTCAGGATTCCTATATGTTGCTACAAAATAGAAATGGTATTAGAAAAAGAAGTACAAATCAGTATTAAGTTAATATGTTTTGTGAATATGTGAATATGTTTTGGCTTTGTTCTACATCAATACATTATTTAAAAAATAAAAGTGCTGGGCTGGGAAGGTGGCTCAGTGGTAGAGTGCTTGCCTCATATGCATGAGGCTGTGGGTTCAATTCCTCAGCACCACATAAACAGAAAAAGCCAGAAGTGGCACTGTGGCTTTAGTGGTAGAGTGCTAGCCTTGAGCTTAAAAGCTCAGGGACAGCGCCCAGGCCCAGAGTTCAAGCCCCACAACCAACAAAAAATAAAAATAAAAAATTAAATAAAAATGCTAAATGTTCACATTATTTGAACATTTAGTAAAAGGTACATGCCACCTACTGCAATTAGTTGTAAGAATCCTGTCCAAAAGAATTTAAAAAATAAAGTACTAGGAATGTGGCTTAGTGGAAGAGTGCTTGCCTAGCATACATGAAAGCCCTAGGTTTACTTCCTCAGTGCCACATAAATAGAAAACATTGGAAGTGACACTGTGACTCAAGTTGTACAGCAAAAGAAGCTCAGGGACAGTACCCAGGCCCTGAGCTCAAGCTCCAAGACTGGCAAAAAAAAAAAAAAGTCTCAAGAATAATAACCAGGCTTAGTGGCTAATGCCTGTAAGCCTATCTAATTAGGAGACAGAGATCTGGAAGATCAGGGTTTAAGGTAAGCCTGATCAAAAAACTATCATCACATATCAAGCAACAAATAGGGTATGGTGGCAAGCTGCTGTGATCCTAGCTACATGGAGGCATAGGTAGGATGATCACTGTCAGAGATTAACCCCAGATAAAAACAATTAAACTCTATGACAAAGAATATAAAGCATCAAGGCCAGGTGTGATGGCTCACACCTGTAATCCTGGCTACTCTGGAGGCTGAGATCTCAGGATTGCCATTCAAAGCCAGCCCAGTCAGCAAAATCCATGAGACTCTATCTCCAATAAACCACCAGAAAACAGGAAGTAATGCTGTGGCTCAAGTGGTAGAGAACTCACCTTGAGCTGAAGAGCTCAGGGACAGTGCCCAAGCCCAAGAGTTCAAGCCCCACGACTGACTGACAAAAATAAATAAATAAAGCACCAGAAAGAATGGGGATCTAGCTCCAGTAGTAGAGGGCCTGCTCAGCAGGTATGAGGCCCAGAGTTCAAACTATAGTTTTCATGAAAAGAAAAAAACAAAAAACACTTAAGAATTTCAAAAATAGTTAAAAAATGTAAAGACCTAGGTGATAATGTATTTATTTGTCTAAATCTTTTTTTTTTTTGTCAGTCATGGGGCTTGAACTCTGGGCTTGGGCGCTGTCCCTGCACTCTTCAGCTCAAGGTCAGCACTCCACAGCTTGAGCCACAGTGCCACTTCTGGTTTTCTAGTGATTTATTGAAGATAAGAGTCTCACGGAGTTTCCTGCATGGGCTGGCTTTGAACCACGATCCTCAGATCTCAGCCTCCAGAGTAGCTAGGATTACAGGTGTGAGCCACTGGTGGCCAGCTTTGTCTAAGTCTTAAGAGTACAAATTACCCACCTGAAACAAAATCCACTTTTTTTTGGCTAGTCTTGGGGTTTGAACTCAGGGCCTGGTCACTGTCCCTGAGCTTCTTTTGCTCAAGGCTAGCTCTACCACTTGAGCCATAGTGCCACTTGTGGTTTTTTTCTGTATATGTGGTACTGAGGAATTGAACCAGGACTTCATGCATGCTAGGCAAAAACTCTACCACTAAGTTACATTCCAGCCCCTAAAATACACTTCTGAGAAGAGAAATAAGAATCTAGTACCCTATTATTTTTCAACACAATTTTGAGCTAAGAAGGGGTGTCACATAGTAGAGTGAACAGCAACCCCTCAGAAATTAAGATGCGGTTCATCTAGGCAAGATCTTGCTACCTTATTACATCTTATTCCGCTTCTTACAGGTATGCAACAAAATAGTTCAATCAAGAAGACAAGACAGAGAGAAAAGTGAATTGCAGACTGTATACCTTTCTTCCCAGGATTAGAAGTAAATGTCCATCCTAGCTCTAATCTTTTCCGACACAGAAGGAGAAAGTTCAAAAAGCTATACAGCCCTTTAGGTTTGTTTTATTTCAGGAACAGATTAACATTTATATTCTTATCACTTCTTTTCAAAAGTAACAGACTAATTCAGCTACAGAAATAATCATAATTATAGACTGACAGGCCTACTTAAAACTATTCCAATTCTTACTTAATACTTCCTGTTAACTTTTCATTTGCATCAATATGTACAATTTAGTAAATGACAGAAACAAGATTTAAAAATTAT